CTTCAGGCGTAACTTTGACTTCTTAGTTGGAGTGCTAGGACGACTGCTAACACGACTGGAGGGGCGGGAAGAGTATGCTGTAGTAGACGAGGCCTGACTCGCCGTCTCACTCTCGTCATCAATATCGCGGTTGATGGCATTTGTAAGTTCACGAGGATCATTACCGGACGGGATACCAATATAAATCGAGTTAAACAAGAAGTCGCCAATAATCGATTCGTTACCATCACTATCGTATCCGCCTTGAAGACGACTTCTGAGAGCCTCAAGGGCTCGCCCTTCAACGCGTTTGATAGCCTTCGATATTGTATCCCGTGTTCGTGGCCAATCATACCCATCATGAAGGTTCCAGAGAGCATGGACATCGCGAACTTTGATCTGGATCAACTTTGTGTTAGCGCGGGACCCGGCTGCTTCCATAAGCGACTTTCGTCCAAAATGATTTTCAAGGATCTCAATTTTGTTGACCGCATCGTGGACTTTCTGATTAATTACAGCGTTCTCGGACATTTGCGGCTTCGTAATCACAACAGAGTCTTCCAAATCATCTGCGAGAAGATTCGTAGTCATAGGCAATGGAACATCCATTAGACCGTCGTCAAGCTCATCACTGAGAAGTAAGTCGGAGGAAGAGTTTGCGATTGATTCTGGAAGGTCGACGTCATCCAAAGCAGCACTTTTTCTACTAGAAAAATCTGCAGAATCAGAACGTGAAGCTGCAGCGTCATCGGGAGACCCGTAGTAACTTTCAACAAACTGAAGATTTTCGCCGACTGCTTCGCAAAGCTGTTTCTCCACCTCGGACGCCGCACGCAAAGTTTGATCACTGGCTAGCGAATCCACCATAGATTCTTGCACATTGCTTGCTTGAGGAGTGCTGCGGCTAGACATATAGCGGCTCTCGTTTTTAGGTGAACGAAATGCGGACTCATCCAAGCTTGCAAGCAAATCCACAGGCAAAATCTCGGTGTGATATTTCACCTCATCATCAGACGTAACTACTGGCGGCTTAAGACCGTTGATAACCTCAATAAGCGTTTGCGTCGAGTCAGGACATGATTCCACAAAAAGAAGGTCATCTCTGAGCTCCATCTCCACGAGTATGTTGCCAGTCTTATCTCCCGTTAGAGTTACTTCACGAGACATCTTTATTTTTGCTGATGACGACGATATCGACGCGACATTAACGTAGCCCAAATCGGCAATTGGCGTCATATGCTCCACGACCCGAACTTTCCGTCGTCCAGGAAGCTGAGGACGGGACTGCTGACCGAGATTCTGAACATCATCGATGAGGAAAAGTGTAGCACGGCGGATCTTAAGATTTATGTGCAATCCCGCTGACTCGCGAGAATATCCGTCAGCATTACCTTCAGTAATGAAGAGAAGTCCTTTCGATGGCAATCCGAGCGGGTTAAGACCAATCGCGCAGTCACGGATACTGAGATCAAAGCGATAAGGCGCTACTGCAGACTTTAAGGTGGCTGCTGAATCGTCAATTGATGGTTCTTCGAGACCGAAATCCTCATCTGCATAATCTTCGTCATCCACTTCCGAATGCAGACGATTATCGTTATCCAACACATCGTACTCCCAGCTTGGCGAGGGACTCCTTTCCATTCCGAATAGATCCATTTTAACGTTCTCCGGTAGTTCGGTATTTTTTTTCGATTCATTTCCGAACGCCGAAGCAAACAATAACAATATGTCTATACGATACTCAAATCTGACGTTATAGATCGCAGCCGAGATTATCTTCGTGTCTCGTAGGACAATGGAAAGCATTGGCCGGTCTCGCCTTCTTTCCTCCAGGGCCGCACCAACAAGCTCAAATTCATCTTCATCTTCCTCACTGTCAAAAGGTGTATGACGGACAATCCTGACATATTCACTATCGATATATAGAACACCGGAACCACAGCTCGCTAAATCGAATGCGTCAAGATGTACTGTAATATTGCCCACATTACCGGGACATTCAAGTGCAATGTCGGCCGCTCTTACAGCGACTAATAAGACTTGAGTCTGTGATCTAGCGGATCTAGCTCTCGATGGTGAGGAATGTTGTGCAGAAAATTGACCTGCTATATTGAATGCATTCACAACCCTCGAGAATTCGCCGGATATAGACGAGATAGACCGCAATAGCTGCTCCACAGACGTGCTGTTCACCTTCAACGACGCGAGTGATAAACGTGCCCCCACCTCCCTCTCGAATGAGCGATCATATTGCATGTTACGTTCCAAATATCTCACGTCCGGCGAACCCTCATACAATAGATTATATAAGCTGACATCACCACCGGGAACCCTTAGTACAACGCCGTCGGATCGAATATGATTCCGCGATATGGACAGTGGATGGATGGTTAGCCCCAGTGTGACAACAGGGTTACTAGTAATAACATTGACGTGAATAATATTAGTGGTTCCTGTGAATGAATATTCTCCCTCTGCTTTTTGATTTGAAGAGAGCGCCATAGGAACCGGTGTCGTTGACCGGGATGACGGCGAGGCAAAGCTCCTGAACACAGCCGAGAGACTACTTGTGAATAAGGCAATCTCTTCCAACACATCGACGCTGGCAACGATCTCAAGCTTCTTTGGGAGTTCCAATGTAGCCTCAGTGCTGGTACCAGTGATAGAGACATCCGGAACTGATTTACTCTCGGCGCCGGCGCCAGTGAAAGCCAAAATTGTTTCACCAGATCGGATTGCGTGAACAGAGTCAATCGACAAAATGCTGGCAATCGTTGGCGGGGCTGACGGCGAATACGGATTGCGTAGCGCCTCTGATGTATACGATTGTGATACGGAAGCATACAGATTCATGAAAACCAACCGTGTCTTATCAGCTGAGACAAACTCACCGTTGGCACTTAAGTCCGAAGATGGACTAATCTCGATACTTCGCACACCAATTTTGACGTTGCGACTACCTTCCGAACTCGATTCCTGTGCCGTTATCGGCGGCGACTCGTAAATATCATCACCGCTAACATAGGCAGGTGATGCAGGCCCAACGTGTGAATTCTCAAACTCGTCAGTAGGGTCCTTGTTGAGGAATCCCTCAACGACACAAGCAATGGCCTCGGCCACCACTTCCATATGTGCCAACCCGGTTCTCAGAGTCCCCATGCGAAACTCGGCCTTAGATGAAGGACCCAATACCGAAATTTCCAACTCATCACACCATAGAAGTCGGGGTGGAATCTCGTTTAAGGGCTTGTTCTCTGAAGAGTTCGGTACAATCTCAGCTTTGCCGTGAGACTGCTCGATATGGAAGGCCTTGTCGGACGAACGCTCGGAAATTGCCAGGTCTTGAAGTATACCGTTTATATGAGTAATACTGGACGACGACGATTTGTTCAAGCCCTGAAAACTGGGTGACATTGCACTCATGTAGATGCTCCCAGCCTCTTCCTTTGAAAAATACATACTTTCCGCGAGAGACTTGCTGGATTTTGACCTTGGTTGCTGATGCCGTTTTCGCTTTGACAAGTCAAATGCACTCTCTTCTGCTTCTGATGATGATATGCCCCCTTCATCTGGGGATGAGTCTGTCGATGATTCAGAAGAATAAGAGGACGATGAGCTCCGTCGATCGTCGCTCCGCCGCCGAAATGGAAGATATTCTTGGTTTAAATCTGGAGGCAACGAAAACTGGATATCTGTAAACTTAAGCACCCGAATACCATCTTTCTCGGTGACGAACTGTGACCTTTCTATAGTGCCCTGAAGGATTAGTTGCTGTAATACAACTCGAACCGACAACCCAGCTATGGTAATCCGCAACTGAGCAATCAACATATCCACAGCCTTAGCCATCATGGATTGCAAATTGAAGCCGCCAGTGCCAAATCCCAATAGTACCTCGTCATCCTCCGACTCGGCACCGTCATTCTCCGAAGTAACCGTGGAAGAATCATCTTCATCCGCTGACGACTTTCGAATTGACTTTTCGAGCTCAATATTTTCCTCTGCTGTCTCACTATGTAGAAAGGATGACGCAAGATTTGCCGTTGTTCGAGACATAAAGTCCTCAGCAGACGGCCCAGATGGCGAGGGCGCCACTGTTACATCGACACCAGAGAGCGACACTTCTATGGGCGTAGTCAAAATATTCCTAGGAATTCGAACAGTGATCTCGCCAACTTGTCCATCTCTCAAGAACATTCCGGGAATGGATATCGCCTGCGATGCAAAGTTAGTCACGAAAATCATCATTTAACGGGACCCTGGTTGCATACATCGACATTTAGCCGGACATCACGCAGGCTGACGGAGCTACTCGTTCCCAGCTGAACATCCAGATTCGCTAAGTCAAGATCATCGAATATCGCCACTCGCGAGAGGATATACCGCAGAAGGCGCTTCTGGATATTCTGCGGTAACCATGGCGGCCGCATCTTCCTGCTTCGTATCTGCCGAGACGGTAATCAACGCGCAACAGCAGTCTCTGACAATCACACTCCTCTGCTGTGAAATCCAGTAATTACTATAGACACGTTCTAATCCTACCAACATTAGTCATGCTTCCAGATAACGATAACTCGGGATGACACAAATGGGGAATCGCAAGTAACAAATCCGGGGATCCCACTCACACTTTAATATCGCCCAGACCTTGCGGATCACAGCAAAATTTTCAATCATAAACCGGCCACGACAATTATATAGACGATACAGATCCAAATGAGTGATATAAATCGTCCTCGACAAAATCAGGGAACGAGACAGGCCTTTGGTATCGTGTATGTGGAGAGTGGTATGGGCATGGCGAACACGACCGGTGGACAGCACATTGATTGACCCGGCCTGCGATTGGGAGTTTACGTGTATACGTCAAATTGAGACTCCCAAAAGAAGTCAAAATGGCTAAGCACAGGATGCAATTTTAATTCAATTATTACGTCATTTGCATTGACTTGTATGTTTCTTCGATATTGGACTACGATAATAACAATGGTAAAAATAAAAAAAACAAATATAAATTAAATTAGCGATACTTGGTTTCGATCCAAGGACATCAGGGTTATGAGCCCTGCGCGCTTCCGCTGCGCCACATCGCTGCTTCATAAGTTTTGAAAACAAAAGTGAAGACAATGAGGTCATTTACATCACGTGATTAATATTGTGCTCTTTCGTTATTGTCAGTTTTCCTTTGCTTTTCCTTAGAAAATGAATAATTGCGGTAATAAACTGGTTCCAGGCTTTAATGTTCTCATTTTCGCGTGGCATTGTTGACAATTATGTGAGAACTTAAAGATGTCACGGGGGTGGATACGATTTGCGATTAATCGTTATTCGTATTCGTAAAGTCAAATACGATCACTATACGAGTCCATGTGGAACTTTACGATTAACTATACGCTGAAGTTCGTTACTCGCAAAAAAATCGTATAGTCATGCACGTGACTTCATTGTCCGCCCTGAAATGCTTCAAATGCACAAGTAGAGGACAAACACGTAAAATTGAATAAAAAAGACACAAAATTACACAGTTGAATAGTGGTCTGCAATTCAAGTAAGCTCTCTCATAGTTCCTTACCCCATCGAATGCCGTCTTAACCCTAGCAGAATCCTTCCGCCACTAAATATTCTCGGATATTCATCTTTGTATGGCCCTCCACCACCTTGGCAGCCATCCCTGTTCAATAGCGTCGACAGCTACCGTCTCTTCGTCAAAGTAATTGTCAATATCGGGATCGCTGAGCCTTTCGGGCCCCAAATTTGAGAGCATGCGAGACTCTAAGCCGGGCTTCTCAGAATAACAAGTTGTCAAGCGAACGACAACTGATAATTACAGATCCCAGAGTTCGTTCGTAGTATGTTTAACAGACAACCGCATTCCACGCGTTGTCAGGGTAAATTAATTTTATTAGGTCATACCTAATTAGGAATACGATTACTGTACGATTTTTTGCAGACTATACGATTACTTTATGATTAGGTTCTCTATTTTGCGATTAACTTTACGAATAGTCGAATAATAGTAAATTTTGACGGTACCGTAACCGTGTCCACCACTGGATGTGCAAACCTCTATATATTTAGTACTGATAACAAGCAAATATGGCAATATCGATAATCGCAGGACAAAAAAGCAGCATCACAGCTACCGCAGTCAATTGTAGTCCGACCCGAAATCCGCACAGTAATCACCATCCATCTGACTTGATCACGAACTGTGTAGTCAGTGGGAAAGACTGGAGTTTACTTTGATTCGTAAGTCTATGGCCTCCACTACTGGAGTTTATGTTGGTTCGCAGGTCTGTTACCGCTCTACAAATAGGAAACTTTTACTATGATGCTTCTATCGTAATTTGTCAACAAGCTCTTTCCGGGCCTAACATCCCCTTTGGCACAGTCCAAGTAACCTCAGAATCCTTAAATGAGGCGACAATCAACGCTTCTGTAAAATGATACCGCCCGTGTATGCTCTCACGCTCTCATTTAAAGCATCCACGAGAGATTTGAAGTACAACGGGGCATCTTTAATTTCGCGACGCAGACGGAAAAATGATTGCCAGTATGTATGAACTCTAGAGGGACCGTTCACCTGAGATTCAGCATTCGACAACTTGTAGTCTTCATAACTTCTTGCGATGCTCCAGCCTCAATTTTTCTTCGTAACGGTTCAGCGAGTCGATATCGCTGTGCTTGTAAACTCTCCACGATTTCGGCACATACGCAAAGCAAAGTTCTTGACCCTGGTAAACAAAATATCGTGCCAGACTGGAAGCCCAAGAACGTAGGCAATGTTATACCTTGACCGGACCGAGGCGGTCGGACTTCCTGTTGGCGACCCCCACCATCGATCTTGGCAACCCCACGCTATCAGCAGCGGTTTCTTCGCGATTTTTCTCCTTCCAGTAGAGCCGCACGAACGAATAGCGTACCTTAACCGTTATCTAATGCAATATTCTGGTACCAATATAGGCAAGCCCAGTTTAGTTATGAGATGTTTGGTGGAAAGATATATTTATTTCCTCCCAGACATAAGACAATCAGACTAATCAATTAACTACACAAGGACTGTGCCTTCTGGATGCTTGTTCTCATCAGAATAGCATATATTGTTAGGAACAGAATAAATATCATGTAATTATTATTAATTTCCTAGCTTAAGCGTAAGAGTGGGAACCGGATCTTACTATTACGTACATATGTAATCGACGATAAATCACTATAAGTATGGACACACACCTGGAAGGGAGAAACGAGAACGACGTCATCAGAGCTGACCCGAAGTGTTTTGCAGCAGGTCTGCACATTTTACTTCGACAGCTTTACCACACAGACTTGAAGCGGACCCGACTCCTAAGTCCGAAGATAGATAAAGTCCAGTTTCCCCCGCGTGATCTCTTCATCCAATATCGACTCAATTGCAATCCGAACGATTGGCATTACGGACATTGACAATGACTAGTGGGTCAGTTTCTAATGTTACTGCTGTGCTTGACTTAGCCCGCAACATTCATTCTTTGATAAAGGACCAACAATGCAGCTAGTTGTCACGACACAATCAAATCAATTACAGTTGTATCGCCGTGGATAGTGCTAACGAATTAATTGTACAGACGTGTTTTTACTCTCAACACAGGCGCAGTTATTCCTGCACTCGGTCTCGGCACCTGGCAGTCTGGGCCGAATGAGGTCTACGAAGCCGTTTTGGTCGCGCTGAAGGCTGGATACCGCCACATCGACACCGCTTACGTGTACGGAAACGAGGCCGAGGTGGGCAAAGCCATTAAGGACAGCGGCATCCCTCGCAACGAAATCTTCCTGACAACCAAGCTTTGGGGCACATACCACACCAAGCCGGAAGTCAACCTCGACATTTCGCTCAAGAAACTCGGTGTCGACTACGTGGATTTGTACCTCATTCATTGGCCATCACCGCTTAATCCGAACGGTAACCACGAGTTTTTCCCTACTTTACCCGATGGCACGCGTGATCGTTTGAAGGATTGGGATTTTGTCAAGACGTGGGAACTTGTGCAGAAGTTGCCTGAGACGGGCAAGGCGAAGGCTGTCGGTGTGTCGAATTTCTCGAAGGTGAATCTTGAGAAATTGTTGACTGCGCCGACCACCGAGGTCGTTCCGGCTGTTAACCAGGTTGAACTCCACCCGTACCTCCCGCAGCAGAAACTACTTGACTTTGCAAAGTCAAAGGGTATCCACATCACTGCGTACTCGCCCCTCGGCTCCACCAACGCCCCATTGCAGCAGGAGCCAGCCGTGCAGGACATCGCGAAGCGGCTCGGCAAGTCACCCACGCAGGTGCTCATATCGTGGGGAATTTCGCGGGGCACTTCGGTTATCCCAAAGTCTGTCACCGCTGAGCGAATTATTTCAAACTTCGATGACTTCGTGTTGGAGGAGAAGGATATAGACGCCATTAATGCGATTTCGAGGACGACGGCAAAGAGATTGATTAACCCGAACTGGGGCGAGGTTGTTTTTCATGATGATTAGATGTGTAATTGATAGACATTCTATGTGTATTGATAGATGTGCTCCAAAGAAAAACAATCATACTGAGTGATGCTGCAAATAACCAATACTCCGTCCAAATAACGTATTCGCAAAATTCAACCAATTTACAAGTCATCAAACGGACAAGTGTTCTAGCTCTGCGCCTTCCAAATCCTCGAATTTCCGTTTCGCTGACGTTTGGATATTGTCGTCATCAAGCAATGCTTGAATACTCATCGCATTCCGAGACTCGTGAAAAGGTGATTGGAGAAGTAACGGGAAATACGAACCATTCGCATCCGCGCTAATCGCGCGTTCCGTCAAAACCCGAAGGCCGCGCATTCCAACGCCACGGAGGACGGGACTCGCGATGGCAGTGGCTACTCGGTCAGCGTCGGAGCTAATTTGGACTATGCGTTTGCGAATGTCGGCCAGCGGGTGACACGAAGTGAGATCGATAGCATGCTCCTTGGCGAGCTTGACAGCCAGTTTGGCGATCCGGTGGACAAGTGTCGGAGGTGGTGTGGGCCCTGCAAAAGGCGTAGCACGCGGGTCGGAGAGATGCGTGTCCAGTGCGCGACAGAGGATACGGTCTTGGGATGGTGTCCATTTTGACGAGGGTGAAGAACCCCCTGGGGGAGTGTCGGGCTCAGATGAGGAATCTTCGTCACTCGAAGCCAATCTTGATGACGACCTTGTTGCCATTGGACTTCGAGGAGCGGAAGTGACGAAGGGGGTGCATGGTGTTTTCAAATCCGAGTAGAAAACAGGCACTTGCCGGGCGGAGGTACCTGGCGGATATTCTATCCGTGCTCGCTTCGTCTGAGTCGACATCGAAACCGGTAATGGGGACAATTGCGCAGAATGTATACTGTTGCTCGTCAGCGCTCGAGTTCCCCGAGTTCCGGGTGTGCGAACCAATGCCGGAGATTTGAGAGGATGATCTTGCAGTTGCTGGCATCCGCTGGACGTAGCGGCCAGGAATGGCGGAGGGAGAGTAATGTCGGGGGGACGCAGGGCACGGGACTTCATGATGTCGTTGACTATGAATACAAAGAATTATTACAAATGATGCTGAACGAATGCGAGAGACTATGATGCCACTTGTATTTATGATGCCAGGAGGTGTTGTGTTTGGTTCTCGCGACGCGTCGTAACGCGTTGAAAACTACGTGACCCTGCAATGGTGCAACAATTTGAGTTGTGATTTTGTGAGTTGTGAATGTCCTGATCACGGGTCGTCATCGCCGCCGCTTGTTGTCGATGACGTCAATGGCCGATGTTGTTTTGGTCACCGGACATTCTATGGTGGAAGGAAGCATGTACTAATTCAGCAATGAAGATCGACTACCTAACTGAGGAGAGTGGAGAATCATCAGCAATTACAATTGCATTGCCATTTTGAACACTGCAAAATACTTCATTGAACTCTTATATTTTCTGATCTCGACTTTCTGAAATTGTACAGTTTTGTGCTGCTGGACAATAAATGATTAATACTATTACTGGTACAAAACTCAAAGAAACGTGTCAGTCCATTATGTCACGTGTGGCACACGATGAAATGGGGCTAGCTAGGGTTTATTTTAGG